CTTACGAACTATCCAAATGGGTGGCACAAAAACTAAACTTCTCCGAGAGGGCTCGAGGACCTCAATCAATTCGGCCTCCCACTTTCTGGCCGCTATCCGAGAAAGAACGGTTCAACCGGATCAGACCATTGTATCTTTTGACGTTGTTTCTTTATTCACATCTAGCCCGCCAGACCTGGCACGCGACGCCCTGCGCAAACGACTCGAAGAGAAATACGAGGAATCGATGGATGCTCTAAAAATGGCCATCTAATACAATGCTTTGTCGTCTGCCAAAGAAACATTTTTGACTTCAATAGTAGAAACTAAGAGCACATAAAAGGGAGGCCGATAGGTTCCCTAATATCCAGCCTAGCCGTAAAACTGGTCTTAAAGGAGCTGGAACAAAACGCTTTCAATCAATTCGAACCCGCATCCTAGTGCCGATACGTGGATGATACTTTCGTTTTAATCGAACGGAGCAGACTAGCAGACTTTAAAAACCTGCTTAACGGCATCTTTCCCGACATCCAATTCACAAGGTAAGAGGAGAATGCAGAACTGCTGCCTTTGCTTGACGTTCTCATCACGCGCAGATCCAGTAGAGAGCTCAGCACCACGGTGTATAGAAAGGCGAATAACACAACCCAGGTGCCCAGCTGCCATAGCAACCGCCCGACGGTGCATAAACGGGGCTGTATTAGAGTCCTCTTTCAAAGGTTAAAAAAGCATTGCAGCGAACCTGAGGGACGAGTGCGAGAACTACGGCATCTCCGGTACCAACAGGCAGGGAACGGATATCCGAACATTTTCGTCGGCCACTGCCTCCGTACGCGCCCATGGGGAACAAACCGTACATAAAGAACGTGTCAGAAGCAACGGAACGTATCACTGCAGAGCTCGACGTGGGTGCTGCCCATCGTCTGACAGCTACCATGCGTTCGCGGATCATGCAAGCAAAAAAGCACTGGAGGTAGGTGAGCAGTCTGGCGTCGTTTAATAAGTGCTATGTCGCGACTGTTCTTGCCATTATACAGGGCAGACCAGGCTAAGACTTAGCTCCCGAATGACGGAACATAAACAGGCAGTGCGGAAAGACGACCCATTGGCTCACATCGCTACCCACACCCTGAAGGAATGCCACGAATTCATCTTCACGGGTACGCGGATAATGGCACGAGCCAGTAATAAGACAGGGCG